TTGTCTGCGCGTGTGTACTTTGCGCATGCGTGTGGAACATTCGTCTGCGGTATTCCCTCGCCTCCGTCCCTCTCTCCTTTCTCTCCTCTGTCCCTTTCCTCCTCCCTTTACTCCCTTCCCCTCAGTATTCCCCCCCCTCTCGCGGATGTATCGCCCACAGGGCTCAGTTGCACGAGTGAAAAGTTCGCCAGGCAAATGGCCGGCTTTCATCCTCAACATTTTCACCCCCCCAAAGCACAAAAATTGTTATACGGGCTATAATACGCGTTTTTGCGCAGTCACACAAGCACACATGCACACACGCGACCGGGCGCGCACACGCTCGGGAGGATGGTGCACGCACCGTTGTTGCGCGTGTATTGATAGGCGTAATTTCAGCATTTTAGCTGCCTCGGGGGTTGAAAAAGTTTCGCTGAATACGGCCATTAACTTGCCAAAAGTTTTCCATGCTCTGACTGTGTCGTGGGCGATACTATCTGGAGAGGGCGAGTAAGGAAGTGAGCAAGGAAAACAACGGAAAAGGCCTGTATATACTATATATATAAAAGTATTTATACTTACATTATAACTATTATTATATAACCATCTACGTATATATATATATATAATATATAGATATATAGTATATTAGTATATACCCTATATATACACTGGTTACTATACTATAGCGCGCCGCAGCGAAAGGAGTAGAAACACTTGCGGAGGAGCGAGAGAGAGAGAGGACCGAGACGGAGGCGAGAGACGGACGAGGACTACCAGAGAGAGTCCGAGAGAGAGTGTGTGTGCTATATAATGTGCCGGCTGGCCGGGGAACCCCCGCCGACCGCGCCCGTGCGCGTGCGTGCGTGCGTGAGAGAAATTGCGAGCGGCGAGAGAGATAGAGACGTAGAGCCGAGAGAGAGATGAGATGAGAGAGAGATGAGAGAGAGAAAGAGAGGCGAGTTGTCGGTGTGTGTGATGTTGTCTGTGTGTGAAGAGGGAGGGAGAGAGAGACAGAGAGACGGGAGAAAGGAAAGAGAGTGAGAGCACGGAGAGGGGGGAGGGTGAACGAAAGCGGAGAGAAAGTAACTATATTACTAGAAGGAAAGGAAGGTATGTGTATCCGTGCCTGTGTGGGTGCGGTTTGGTGCCGTACGTGCGTTTGTCTGGCGCGTGTGTACTGCGCCATGCGTGTGCAACATCTCCGTCTGCATTATTTCCTCCCTCGCGTCCTCTGCCCTTTCCTCGCCTCTTTTCTTCCTCCCTTCCCCTCAGTATTTCCCTCCCCCTCTTGCGGATAGTATCGCCCACGGCCATCACTTTGCACGATGAAAAGTTAGCGCCAGGCAAATGACGCCGGTTTTCAGCTCAACATTTTCACCCCCCCCCCAGCCCGACAAAAATATGATTATACAGCTATAATACGCGTTTTTTACAGTCACCACAAGCACACATACACACAACGCGACCGGGCGCCACACGGGGTATTGGTTGCACGCACGCGGCGCGTGTAATGTTGGCACGTAATTTCACATTTGGTGCCTCGGGCGAGTGAAAAGTTTCGGCTGAATACGCGCCATTTACCTGCCAAAAGGTTTCCAATGCTTGACTGGTCGTGGGCGGATACTTATCTGCGAGAGCGGAGTAATGCAATAAGTGATTATCTTTGGATTACTGTTAATGTTACTTGTCTGACATAGCCGATGAAAGGTCAGCAGGTAAAGGAACGGCAACGGTTTATTATTATATTAAAATCTTCTATTGCCCATGTATTTCAACTACAAATACATGTAGAAGACATATATGTTGTATCTATATCATGTATGTATATATATTATGTATGTAGTGATACAGTACATTGTGTGATATATAGTTCTGAGTGATACATGTTAAATTAAAGCTTTACATATTGTTATATGCTGTATGAAACAAATATTGTGTATCCGTCGGCTAATCAGCGAGCTATAGCGGTTTTTTAATCTACTTATCGGCGAGTCGTTGTAAAACAACTATTGAACTTACTTGTCACAGATTGGCCTTGAAAAAAACTTCAAGTTTGTGGGAACCATGACACACACGGCCGCCGCGGCGCGCGACGCACGCAACGCACGCACGCACGCACGCACGCACACACAAACACACACACACACACACAAAGATTGAATAATAATAATAATAATAATAACAACATAAATTCCAAACTTGGTTTCAAAAGCAATATTATTTTGCAACACGTGCGTATAAAATTGATGTTCATGATTACATTTGCTAAAAGTCAGCTTTTCAAGCACAACCATACTGACATCAGTTATGGATACATGATACTATGCATTGGTTGATTAGAGCTAAACAATTTCAGTCGATATGATTCTCTTATATTATCAAACTTTATTTATTCTCTTGTTATCTCACAATGATGATGACGACGATGAACGACGCACGGACGAGATGATGATGATGACGATGATGACGATGCATGATGGATGACACGATGATGATGACGACGATGATGCGTGATGACGATGGACGACGATGACGATGATGACGACGGATGACGGATGATGACGACGATGATGATGACGCCCGACGATCTGATGATGATTATGATGACGATTGGACGACTACGATGAGATGATTAATGTATGCAGGGATATCACAGCACAGCATTTACACGCAGTTTACATTCACAAAACTGCATTAATTTAATTATTAATTATATATCACCTTGACTGGACTCCACCGCCTGACACAGTTAAAATGTCAATCACACAAGGAGATCACCTGATGTTAAAGATCACCCCGACTATTGTAGGAACACGTGGAAATACAGCTAAAACCCATTTACAGCCGCAATAAATTCTGGTACAAATACCATTCGATCATGTAAGCATGCGAGGTCGGTGCATTAGTGCTATCTATTTATGTATATGCTAGCAGTAGTAGTAGTTATTAGTAGTAAGTAGTAGTAGTAGTAGTAGCAGTAGTAGTAGTAGCAGTAGTAGCTGAGTAGTAGTACTAGCAGTCAGTAGCAGCAGCAGCAGCAGCAGCAAGCAGCAGCAAGAGCAGCAGTAGTAGCAGCAGCAGCGAGTAGTAGTAGTAGTAGTCAGTAGTAGCTATCGTATATGCATCAACATCTCATGCCTCCACAGCCCAGGGGAAATACCAATTGCCAAAAAGAGTTCGCGCCAAGCGAGGCCCCCGCCCCAATATCCGGGGTATACCTCCGCGTCCCCAGGCCCGAGGCATGCGGGAGCCGATGGACCGCGAGGGCATTCTGGTGACATATGCCTCGCCTCGGAGATGGTAATACGGTACATCTGTTGCCTACTCCATTCAGCCTTACTCTCAGAATGGTAATATTCCCATTTCACCTACTCCATTTCGCTCCTACTCTCAGAATGGGCAAATTATTTCCCATGTTCACCTTACTCCCATTTCGTCTACTCTCATGCAGAATGGCCACACATTATTCCCATGTCGTCTACTCTCAGAATGTGGCAATACTCATGTTCACCCTACGCTCCCATCCTCCGTCTACTCTCAGGTGATGGGTAGCTTGCTATTTCGTCGTAGTATTGCATATATAACAACAAATTACGAGACGGATGAAATTAGCGTGAATGACACTCCGTTAGGTCTATGTACGCCTAATCAAATCCCATATATGACAATTATAAAATGATTATTCTTAGCTGCGGACAAACTTGATGGTAGTCAAAATAGTGAATAGGCGTTGATTTTGAGCGTTAGACGATTTGGAAGTAGCGCGAAATGGGTGTAGAGGCCAACTGGGCTTTTGCTATAGACGAAATGGAAAATTTTTTGCCGTAGGCGAAATGATGAGGTTACACCTGCTCCCGAGGTCCACACCTCCACAGTAAAAGCAAGTGAGTACGCTGCCATTCCTGGCGCACGCCACAAACAACGTAAACAATATTCCCGATTCGCAGATAATGCCGTACAGAGAATAGATGTACAGCGCGTAATAAGCAGTGTAAACGTAAAAGTTGTGCAACCAAACTGATCGATAGCAACTAGTTGGGAGATTAGACACACGGTCTATTTTCGCCAACTCGGACGTTACCCGAAATTTGGGAGTTGGTCCAACTCGCCAAATTCGCCAACACAAAGTCGGTAGTGTAGACCCACTTAAAGTTTGACGGGCTCGGTTCGGCGCGTGACAAGACGATTCGCACGTTATATATAATTATCGCTTCAGAGAGGCGACGAGATTCGCCTCGTTTGTCAGCATTAAGGGCTTCACAGAGCAGAATAGACGATTCAGCTCGTTAGGCTTCACAGAGACGGATATAGGACGATTCGCCTCATTTAAGCTTCACAGAGCCGAATAGGAGATCGTCTCGTTAAGGCTTCACAGAGCTGAATAGGACGATTCGCTCCTTAAGGCTCTCACAGAGCGGAATAGATGATGTCGCTCTGTTAAGGCTCACCAGAGCGGAATAGATCGTATTCGCTCGTTAAACCTTAACAGAGCGGAATAGACGATTCGTCGTTAACGAACTAACTCTTCAGCAGAGGGGACGATTAATGATTCGCTCGTAAAACAAAGGGTCTAACTCTTTAGAGAGGGGACCGCTAACAATTCCACTCTTAACGAACGTAATCTTCAGAGAGGGAAGCTAACGATCTCGCTCGTTAACAAAACTAATTCTTCAGGAGGTGAAAGCTGACGATTTGCTCATTAACGCTTGCAGAGAGGGGCACGCCTTAAACGATTCGCTCCGTTAACGGCTTCAGCGAGGGGACGCTAAACGATTCGCTCAGTTAACGCTTCAGAGCGGGGGACGCTAACGATCGCTCCGTTAACACGCTTCGAGGAAGCTGCGCCAAGGGACCTGCTAACGCAATCACTCGATTAACGCTTCAGAGGCAAGGGACCGGCGCTACAACGATTCGCTGGCGCCGTTAAGGTTTCAGAGAAGCGGCTGCGGCTAACATGCTCGCTCCGTTAACGCTTCAGAGAGGGGGACACCAATTCGTCGGGATCCTCTCATCTGCCGTCATCTGTTGGCGTCACGCGCCGGTGAGAGAGAAGTCCGGATTCCCTTCCGAGTGCTTCGGCATTGGTGAAAGTTTTCGTGCTCTCCGTGTTTCAACTCGATGAACACGTCGCGTCGCGGCAGTTGCGCGAGCCACGTGCAAGTCCTTCGGCACCGGCTGGTAGCTACGGCCTGAGACACAAAAAAGACACAAGGCAGTTCAGCGTCAGCAATCGATTTTCCGTCATCTCACTCAACTCATTAAAAACTTAAGTCGGTTTAACTGCTTATTCATTTAACTGTTATTCATTTAACTTGCTTATTTCATTTTAACGTTAAAAACGTCACCTGTATATACTGTCTATTCATTTAACTTAAGTTCATTTAACTGTTCGTCATTTATAACCCTTAAGGTCTATTTTAACTGTGTCAGGGGTTCGCGGGATCGTGCGGGAAGGTCCTGCCTATATTATGCAGTTATGTGATGGCAAAAAATCTTCTACGGTCAAGGCTGTGCTTTCCCTGTGGATCGTCGCTCTGGCAGGGTCTCCGTGCGGCCTCGGCGTCGGTCGTCATTGATCGTTCAATAATTGTACTGCGCCGCCTGTTCTTTAATAATTTACGAGCGCGTGACTCCTGTCGGCTGGTTGTGCAGCCGGGATCAGAAGTTGTACTGAGTGATCGCGATGATAAAGCCGGAAAAGAAGAGACAGCGTATGTTATAAAATCACGTAGGATCACACATTGCCTATATGCACCACATTGCTCAAATTAAGTGGATACATTCATAATCAGAATAGAAACAATATAAAGCCGTTAAGAAGAGAACAGCATGCTAGTAAACTCACATATAATCACACATTGTTATATGTACCTCGTTGGTAAAATTAATTGGATAAATTCATAATTAGTTGTAAAGCCATAAAGGACGAAACGGCACCTTATATAAAATCACGTATGATCACACATTGCTATATATGTAGGCCTACCTCGTTGCTCAAATTAAAGGTACGCCAGAGGATTGCGACCGACTGCTTTGCTCTGATATCCATGTGGATATTTACAGCTTCTTCTGCAATGACGTGCTGGGGAAGCTCGTACCAACTAAAAACAAGATAATAAAGATAATGATATATAATAAAGTACAATAATAATAATATTGTAATGTGGTTAATGACACCACTATACTTAAATTTCTGTAATCTTTATTTTTCATATATAGGGTTCTATTTAATGATTATAAATTAAAAATGATGATCATATTGTCAAAATTACACTTACATTAATTTACGTGTGTACACGATTTGACGAAATTGAGACATATTGCCGCATGAGACATTTTTATACTTATATATACACACATAATTATATATTTAGACTTAAATATATATGAGACATATTCATACATATACATATACTTATACTTATACGGATACATTATGCTTATACATATATCAATACATATTCAGACATACACATGAGACATGTACATATGTCTGTACATATATATAATATAATATGTATATATATAATAATACATATACATAATAAACATATACATATACAAACACATATATGAGACATATGAAAGGAAACATGAAATGTTTTCATGTATTTTTCCAAGAGGGTATGTATTTGCAGATAGCAGCTACGATTATGATGCTACGATCTCACGGGGCTTGCTTACTTGGGCTCGTAAGGTCCTATGGGTATCGTTGCGACGTCAAACGGACCATACTCCTCACCGATCGTCTTAAACACATCACAGTATCCCGTATCGGCGGCAAAGAAGAAGCGGTGTTTTGGACCAATCACAGCCCAGCTTCCCACCAATACCTGCAAAACAAAAACAGATAACATCTTTGATGAATCTTCTGAACTTTCTAATAAATATTTGTGCTATAACTGTTGACGGAAGCACGGACGGACGAACGGACGGACGCACGCACGCACGCACGCACGGACGGACATTCATGCAATTCTACAAGCTGCATCTGACTTCGTCAGCTGAGCTAAAAACCGAGAAGGTGGCACTAACATCTTCACCATATAATCATAACATCTTTATGGGCTAGAAATTTGAACTTTGATCAAGGGATAACCTTCTGCTTAGGCTGGTTACTATCGCTGAGAATCTTGTTGTTTTTTAGTCACGCAACATCCAAGAAACATACACGATTGATGCATGAACACAGTCATGGCCCGCTTACTTACATTCTCTGCCAAAATGAAAGAGTCCAAAATAAAAGTTCAAAACTAAAATATAGCAGGATCCATAAGCAATAACCACTGCAATGATAAATTATTGCATACTATATCTCTTGTACAAATGACGAAGAATATGATCTTAACGCAGAGTATGATTTTAACACGAAAGATGAATTTTATTTAATAATTTTTGGGATTTTTTGGTACGTTTATCACAAGTTTTGGGAATTCGTGCAGACCCATGCTGACATAAAATACTTTATTAGTATGAAACAGACGCAAAGAACGTGAAATATTTACGAGGTTTTGCATCCACTCGCTTTTCTTCATAAAAAGACCAATAGGCCCTACACATGGTTTTTGGAGTTTACTTAATTAATTAATTACCTGATTAACATCTCTTAAGAAACGTTGGCACCAGTGTTGCGCAGGTGTGAAAGCCATCTTGATATTTGTATGCGTTGGTAGTTCCTCTTCTTGCCACCAGGTCATCTCCTTGGTGTTTTTGCAACCCTTTTCTTTAAACCAGCAATCCAATCCTTTAGGTACAAACCACCTACAGAAATAAACCTTTATTAATTTTAATCTTATTAATTTAACAATCTTTCACCATCAATGATCAACAACCAGTGCGTGAAAAGAAACGTGCCTAAAGGAAAGTTAGCGAATACGGATAGTTCCCTTATTCCTTTTCCCATTACACTATAGCCTATAAGTAAACCATCACAAACTCATAGTAATTTTTGCGCCGGAGTAGTCAGTATATAATAATGTCCGCTAATAGGCGAGACAGAATCTCTATCAGCGTGTGTATTTTTTCGATTTATACGGGAAACGATCGTGTTGAACACGGATCACAATGCGTGGGGAATTAGATTGCGAGCCGAAAAGTTACGCATTTTAGCTCTGCATGTGAGGTTTGCTCATTTAACAGAATGTATATACGAACCAGGCGTCTGGGAATCGGCTATTCAAACCAATTACGCTGTTGGAATTCAAATGATTGTGGGTTATCAACACAGCGTGGATTTCTGAAAACGTTAAGGCAAGGAGTACGCATTGGGTTTTCTATTTCTGAACCAATGAGCCACTAGTAGCACTAGAACAGCATGAAGACAAGGAACCACACTTCAAAATCGATTAACTTTTAGCCGTGGAGAATGCATCGTAACTGGTGCGGGTTATTACTGCGATTATTTTACAAATATACAGGTTATTATCACAATTATAATATAACAAAAAATATATTACATGACATTAAATTACGATATCATTCAGATTTCAATCAACTATAAACCCTAGATGCTGTAGTGAGATGACGCACGCACTCATTTTATCCAAGAGTTCGTGCAGATTGGGAGGGACTAGGCGATAACGCCACGACCTCATGAACGGCCTCGGAACGGCCCTATTCGAGAACACGGGATTCGTGAGTAGATTGATCCCGTCGAACTGGACTAGACTTGTCGCGTGACCGATCCTAGTGACCCTAACGCCATCTGTGGGCTGAAGAACGGCTTCGATGTCGATCTCCAGTACCGGTAGTTGCCGGTCCAGCTCCTGCGGGAAACCGAGATTATTTCCCGTGACGATTTTTTTCCCGGTTTTTATGTTTATGTTTAAAGCGAGTCTTAAGGTTAGGCTTAGTGTTACGGTTATGGGTTGGGTTAAGGTTAGGCTTAGTGTTACGGTTATGGGTTGGGTTAAGGTGGTGGTTAGTGGTAGATTTTAGGAATGAGGTTAGGGTTATGGCAGGGTGCGAAATTAATGCGAGTCCGATACTCCCTGATTTGACATATGCAGTATCCGTGTGACTCCCTGAAAATTCTGCCATAATTTGGCAGACGTGCTATCGCATGAATCTTTAAAATAAGCACATGCATTATTATCTTTAATTTTGTACTTAAGACTGCGACCTCCCTCATTTTGCTGCGGACTCCCTCTTTTTGAAGGCAGGACGAGGTCCGTTGAACCTCCCTTGCTTCAAAAGTTAATTTCTACCCTGTTATGGCCTGCAGCTGGACACACTCAGAATACAGAGTAATGGATTTGACTGATAGCACGACTCTAACGAAGGTGCTTTTTCACACATGCAGCTACAATCTCTTACCGCTGTTTTCCAGGGTATTGTAGCCATTTTCCGCTCAACCATATTACTCATGTCATTCAAGCTTTTCACCGTTTATCGGCGACGTCTCTGAGGAGTGCTCCTGAGGGGATTCAGAGCATACCAGTCTTGTCACGACAACTGTACGTAGCTTCCCTGTTTGTCGGGTCGGCAGTTTACCGATGTCTTATTGCCTCTTATGCGTCACGAAAAGCCCACGCAATCAATAAATCATATGTTCCGAAAAAACACGGGGTTCTTCTGAGGGAAAATATAGACAACGGGGGGGGGCGCGCCGCGGCGCGTAATGGCTAGTTTGGGTAAAATACGTGCAATGATGGATTCAACAAGCGCAGTAGGCACGCAATGTGGAATTTCATGCAGCAGACGCGGGGAGCAGAGAGTAGAGTGGGTTTCTGGGGTCTCCCCAGCAAAAGTTAAAAAAATTGAATGTCTTCAGACTGCACTTTGATGCAACCCAAAAATTATTCTTTATCCCTTTTAACTTTAAATCTACTCTGTTAGGCAGACCTTAACCAAGTCTCCACGCTCACATTTCGCTGGAGCCTCACGCCATGCCTACACAAATCTACGCATAAGAAAAAAGAAAAGAAAAAAAGCAGCTCCGCGCACACCTGTTATCACACGTCCGTGGCTAGTGCACATCTCGTGGCTCGTCGCTTGCTTGGCTGCGCGCAATTGATTGAAGTACGGGGGCGGCGAATTCACTGATTGTTAGAGTCGCGTGGGTCGTGGTTATTGCTGTACGTTATATGTAGGAGTGGGCCCACGCTGGTATGAGGAGTGACAGGGAAACTTTCCGATCGCGAGAAAAAAGCTGGGCAATCGGGAACAAGTGCCGGAGCGACAGCGCTCCATCTAACGTCTACTGCGGTGACTTCTGTGTGGAAGTGGTGGGATTAAGTAAAACCTGTTACGCCCAAATGTGTTCACATACACGGCGGAAACAGTGGAATGCACAAGGATTAGTATCAGGAAACCTTCCTCAAAGTGAATGTTCGCTTGGGATCGTTGTAGAGAAAGTTGCCACGAGATGCGCGTACGTTTTAAGTGTGTTTCGATAACAGATGCGAAGCTCCATCGCTACGTAGCTAGCAACACATTTGCAAGACAGAATACGGTAAGCATATCCATATTAGCTACGCAGCCTACAGGCTGCAATAGAGAGCTGCCCACCTTGTAACCAATAGCGAGGCAAAACACTACATAGCTACACCACCAACATGCACTGGCAGTGGCCACTGGCAGTGGCATACGTTACATCGTATACATACTGCAGTCACAGAATGCCATAGAAATTATACGACATTTAAGGGAGCATAAACCTTCTGCAAACCAGGCTTTTAGGCTTTTGAATTTCATTGCTGACATTGTAGCCTCATACATCCAGGCATGTTAGGATATCTACCTAGCAAACCCGGAGTCAAATCTCTTCTAACAGACAGTAAACAAATCCATGTTTAAACCTCCTCTGAGGGTGCAAAAGGTTATCCGACACTACTCTTCCGCGATGCGAGCAGAAGGTACATTCATGCGTGTCGTTTCAAGATAAAGCCATTAAAAATGCTAGTCACCGCTGAAACAAAAAAAAGTTTTTTCAATTGCTCCGTCAGACCAATGGTCATGCAAAAATGTTCTAAATATCTGCCATGTGCCATTGACCTTTGCTTGCTGACCTACATTTCGGCAGCAGTGATCGACTTTTCCCTACCATGATGCTATACATCTCGACTATCAGCCAGCCTAGGTCGAAGCCGTTTAAGATTTAGTGCCCCAATGTCTGCATGTTCACTCCCTAATAGCTTAAGTTAAGGAGCGGAATGTTCCCTTTTATTACACCTCTTGACCTTTGACCCACAGCTTCGGACATCCGCAACTCGTTTTGACGATCCCCCCCCCCGACGTCCCGAATATCGTGACCCGTACGTCGAGGCGCAGTTAAGAGTTTGTGCCCAAACGTGTTGACGCACGATCGGACGAGACGGACGGCGGACGCAGCGCACGGACGGAACGACGGACCGACGGGACGACGCACGGACGGAAAGGACGGACTGCGACGATCGCTGCGATTCTAAAAGCTGCATC